TTTTAACTTTTTATTTGAATTGAGTGAAAGTTAAATGCAACAAATCATATACTTTGTTTTATTTCAGTAATTACAATGCCCTCGAAGTAACATTATGTATCCCACTTTTCCCCTGTGATCTCCCCCCCACCACACACACACCCTTTTGAACTTTGTCGTAGATTAAATACTGCCCTTTTGGTCTTGTATGGTTGACCATTCAATTTACCTAAAGTTGAGGTAGCAGGAAAGAACTTAAACAATTATGACAAATATGGTACTCAATTTGGGGGAATATAAGAAGAGTTGGAAGGAATTAAAGAGAAGTAAGAATACTATTAAACAGAACCAAATATAAATCATAGAATGAAAAAATAATCTGAAATCAAACATTCAGATGAAACATACATTAATATATAAAAAGTTTAGTCAATGTGAAGGCAGGTAAATCTAAGTGAAAAAGGAATTTTCTTTATCCCAACGTGTTGTAATTTATGGAAATTCCTGTGTATAAATAGGACTGAAATACTGTACATGAAATAGTAAATAATTTCTATGAAAACACATGTTTTCTAAACTTATTCCAGTGTGATTGCAAACATTCCAATGGAGCATTATGTGTATTCTGTACACAATAAATACTAGGGGAACTCAAAAAATTATATTCAGCTGACCCAAGATATTTAGGAAAACACAAAACAAACATCTCAAACAATTACATACTATGATATTTCCTTGAATGAGAGGAACCACAACTATTTATATATGGCTTTACAATTTTTTTCTCTGATTGCATGTCACTATCCTTCCTGTACTTTTCAAAAATTTTTTTTTAAAAAGCCACCCTTTGAGTCCTTAATTTATTTGCAAGGTTCAAATCTTTAATGTACAAAAAAGGTCAGGAAAAGTTCTTAGAAGACCACAATTTCACGTTAGGTGGTGTAACATAGTTGAAGGTCTGTTTTCATTGGCTATTATTTCTATTATGTGTTACATGGTTCTGTTACTTTTCATATCTAGTAAATTTTATTGCAAAAATATTGCAAATGGTACATTACAAAGGCTTCAGATTTTATTAAGATTGCTCTGAAGAGCTTTGACTTGTAAATTACTGGCAAATCACATTGAATTTTTTCAAGCTTTAATTGTTTGTTGGGTCAGTATGATAAATACTGGGCTGCAAACCACAAGGTATACAGTTTGAGCCCACTAGGTACTCCATGGGAGAAACAGGAGGCTTAATGCTGTTGTGAACCCTATTCAGGGTCATTGGAATTAATTTAGCAAGTGTAAATTTATTTCTCTTTGCCTTTAGTCTTGGTACCTAGATCTGTGCTTTGGCCCCTTTGATGTTTTAGTGGAAAGCCTACCAAAGTTTATTAATTTGATTGGGAATAAATGAATGTTTCTCCTTATGTGGCACTGTGGGATCACCAATGAACTGCAAATCATAAGGTCAGCAGTTGAAACCCACTAGCTGCACCTTAGATACCCTATAGGTTGCTTTGAGTCAAAATTGACTTGACATGACTTAATAACGACAGTATCAAGTAGGAGTCCTGATGTAGCACTATAGCATAAGCAGTGGATTGCTAACAACAAGATTGGCAGTTCAAACCTGCCTGCCACTGTTCTGAAACCTTATACAGGGTTGCTATGAGTTGGAACTGCCTCGACAGCACTTAACAATAATAGAGCAGTACCAATAACCATCAAAATCTCAACTTAATTCTATTAATTTTTCAGTATATATATTTTTTATAATTGTGATTTGAGTAAAGGATTAGAGCAGATGATCTGTTTTACGGCAATCATCAGTTTTATTGTTGCGTCAGTGAAGTTTAGTTGGGAAATAAGATTCATAGTAGGAAGTAGAATCATAAAATTGCTTATGGTAGAATTGTTGTTGTTGTTAAGTGCTGTCGAGTCAGTTCCGACCCATAGCTACCCTGTGTAAGGTTTCCAAGGAGTAGCTGATAAGCTTCAACTGCCGACCATGTAGTTCAAACGGCTTTGTAGTCTGTCACATTAACCTACAGTGCCACACCAGGACTCTGTGGTAGAATTAGGAAACATAATAATAAATAATGATGTAAAGCTTTCAGCATGATAGAACAGTTGATGAAGGATGCCAGTATTTGCTGTTTAAGTCAGTATCATTTGATTAAAAATTCTAATTAAAATTACTGGGATTTGATAAGCCTACTTTTAAGTTGATAAGTAAGATAAAATTCACAAAAGTAAAAGATTAAGTTGGAAAATGTATTACAGTAAGCACATATGTTGCAGTAACTTTAAAGTATTTAAGAGCAAAGATGTCATTTTAAGGACTAAGGTACACCTGACTGAAGCCATGGTCTTTTCAATTACCTCATAAGCATGTAAAAGTTGGAAGGAAGACCACAGAAGAATTGATGCGTTTGAATTGTAGTGTAGGAAAAGAATATTGGAAGTACCATGGACTGCCAGAAAAATAAACAAATCTGCTGAGACTTTGTCATGCTACACAAGGACAAGGACATATCATGCTAGGTAAAGTTCGAGATTAGTGAAAAGGATGACCCTCAATGAGGTGATTGCTACAGTCAGTGGCTGTAACAGTGAACTTAACCATAACAACAGTTGTCAGGATGGCGCAGAACTGGGCAGTTTTTTTCTGTGAGTCAGACTGACTCAGCAGCACCTAACAATAGTCAAAACAATTGCTGAAGTTATGATAATTAAATAATACAGTATTGGAACAAGAATCACTGAATCATTGTTACTAAGTGCCGTCGAGTCGGGTCCGACCCATAGCAACCCTGAGCAGGGTTTCTGAGGCTGTAAATCTTTACGGGAGCAGAAAGCCTTATCTTTCTCCCACGGAGCAGCTGGTAGTTTTTAATTGCTGACCTTGCGGTTCACAGCCCGATTTATAACCACTACGCTACCAGAGCTCCATTAATGGAGTAGAAAAACTAGTTTACAAATAGATCCATGGTCTGTTAATATCAGGAACAGACTATGAGGGTTGGAAATGTAAAGGTAGACGTTTCGTAGTAAAAGGAGGGGAGTGGTTGACTTTGTAGGCCAGGAGCGGAGACCCCTGGGACCATCAGTGGAGAAGAGGGGAGTGCAGGACCCTACCCAGAAAAACAGTGACACCAGAGATGGAGGCAGAGATGATGATGTGGAGAGATGGAGCGGCTGGGAACTCTACACTCAGAGATGGAAAGGGGCTGTGTGCTGACGACCAAGGGGCGGGCTTGCAGGATATACTCTTTGGTTGATGATACATGGAGGATATTGTAACCATGGCAATGTAACAATATACGATAGGATGAATGTAAAGCTAATGTTCTCCCATGTAAACTATCACATAATTCATATAAAACAGTTAAAAAAAAAAAAAAAAAGACCCATGGAACTTGCTTAGGAAAATTGTTGTCTCCTATACAAAGATGACATGCAAATTTGATAAGCATTTCATCTTTTTTGTACATGTAAAAATGGTTAAATTGATGCTTTGGCATGTATATTCTCAATGACAACAATTGAAAAAGAAAAAGAACACTCAGGTTTCTTTATGAGTATTTTTAAAGGTAAATTTACATTGAATGTTAGTGAGCAAGATGTAAATATTTTGGGTAAAATTAATACTCTGTCTGTATTAAGGAATTCTAGAGTGAAATTGTTGTCGGTTAATGAACCTGGACTGCAAAATTGTTTGAACTGCAGGCTGCGGTTTAAACTCACCAGCCACACTCCTTGGAAACCCTTTATGAGGTCGCTATGGGTTGGAACTGACTCAGTGGCACTAAACAACAACGTCTGTGTTAAACAAGAATTTTAAGCTGCACATATATTAAAATATAAAGATAAACTTTCATCATGTTGTCCTTTAAACCAACTGTTGGGAGCGCAGTGACTGCATACAATAGGCACTGGACTGTGAACTACAATGTTTGGAGTTTGATCCTGCCAGTTGCTCTGTGAGATAAAATGATGTTTTCTGCTCCCATCAAGATTTAAAGCCTCAGGAACCCTATAACAGAGTCATTATGTGTTGGAACTGGAAAAGTACTTAAATAGCAATGGATTAGAATCCTGAATATGTATAAAAAAAGATTAATCGTCATTGTCTAAATTACAAAGTCTACTATGAATTCAAATATGCAGAACCAATAAACGTGCAAAGATGGTAAATCTCATTTAATCAAAGAATTGGAAGCTATTAAAATTGTTTTCTTCCATCTGATTTTTTCAGAATTTAGGAGATTGGCTGGTACTGTCAATTGCTGTGGTTGAAAATGTAAATTGATGGAATTGCTTAATATAATTGTGCTGTATCTATAAAGTTAAATGTGGGTATTTAATAGAAGGTTAAAATTCCAGAATGTTTATAAGCAGTTACATGCATGCACATAGGCAGATGTAAATGAATGTTGATTACACAATAGTGAAAATTTTAAATTCAATTTAATTTTCCCTTAATATAGCTCTAGCTAACTTATGATCTACTTAACTCATAGACCTATGAAAACCGAAGGGCATATAATGTAACTAAAGCTTGTTATTACATAAAAAGTCATAACGGTACACTTTTTACATGAGAAAAGAATTAGTGTATCATGAATTGCCATTACATAAAGCATTACAACCTCCAGTCCATGTTTTCAAGTAACTGCATGAAGGAGCAGACTCCTGGTGTGGCTCTGTAGGATCAGCACTCGACTGTAAACCGCATTGGCCGACAGTTCAAACCCAACAGCTGCTCCTTGGAGAACCATATACTGGGTCCCTATGAGTCAGAACCAGTTCTATGGCACTTACAAGCATGATGGAGCAATTTTTATGTTTTAATTAATGAACGATACAGAAATGGAAATAAATATGTTTGAAAATTAATTTAAAAAATTTTGAGTGTTGATGTTTTGAAACTGAGCTAGTGAAGCTAAGCAGTAGTAGTAGTAAATGACTTTAAAGTTACAATGGGATGCATATATTTTTAAATTATGTCCTTTGATTCTTCTTTCTTCTAGTAAACCCAAAGAAAGATAGTGAAAATACACCTGTGAAAGGAGGAACTGTCGCAGATCTTGGTAAAATAAAAAAAATGCTATATATCATTCTGTGTTGTTTTCTCTCTTATCAGCTCCCCTAATAATTCCATTTTGTATTGAGCCATGCTGATTTTAGGTGTTACGATTACTAGAATAGAATATTGTCTATGGCTATAGTTACCACCATAATGGTTTGGTTTCCTTTACTGTCATTTCTTGATACGATAACTTTCTCTCATTCATTGTATTTAATGTTGAGTGTTCTCATCTCAGAGCACATTATTTTTCTAAAAACTAGCAAAGATTGTAACATTATGTCTGAAATCAGAATATGTGCATTTTAAACCAGTAGCTCTAATAAATAAAGCATTTTTCTAATCTTTTAAAATATGGTACTTGTTTCATAATATATATGTAAATCGATTTTGTATTTTGCAAACAAAAATTTATTGACTGGAGTGTTTTTAAGCAGTATAAAATAATTTCTTAAATATATTTTTAGTTTTTAGATCATGTTTTCACAAGAAAAATAAAATTAATTCTTCCTGAAGCTGGAAGAGTAGAAAACAGGTAGTTACTCATTCCAGTTAGGAAAATAGAGTTAGTTTTAAATGTCTTTTTTCTTCTGAGGGTTACAGATGGGGTTGAGTAAATAATAATCTAGCTTACTATTTTTCAGTTGTCAAAATCACAGAAAAAATCTAGTGTTTTCAGAATACAGTAAATTTTTTATTTCAAAGAATTTTTAGACTTGAAAGATATTTTTGAGATCTCATTAAATATAAAAATAGAACTTTAATGTCTCTATCTCTTATTTGGAGTTCTGATGCGGTGCTATAGGATAAACACTGGACTAATACACAAGATTGATAATTCAAATCCATCAGCCACTCCTTTGCAAAACCTTATTCAGGGTTGCTGAGTCGGCACCAACTCAATAGCAAATTTTTGTTTTAAATTCTTTATTTTGAGTGCAATTGTAGTGAATTTTGATGGGCAGGTATGAGTGGGTTTGTGGAAAGGGTTTTCTGTTTTTGTTCACTACAAATATATCCCGTATTCTTTGCCTCATGACCTGTCCTTGAACATTAGTAGATGAGTCTGTTTTTGATCCTGTCCACAGCAGAAGCAGTTTATACAAAAGTAGATGAGTCCTGGTGTGGCTGTGTGGGTTAATGCACTGGACTCCAAAGTCAGTTTGAACCACAAGGTTGGTGGTTCAAGCTCACCAGCCACTCCTTGGAAACCCTATACAGGGTTGCTATGGGTTAGAACTGACTCCACAGCACTTAACAACACAACAACAGGGTGTATTCAGATTAATGAAGAGATGCTGTCAAAATGTTTTTGTCTTGTTTTTAAATCTATTCATAGAATATAAATATTGAACTGCTTGATTAATAGTCTTAATGCATTTTTGTTTAATCTATATCTGGCACTTATCCACTGAATAAAAGACGAAGAAAGCAAAAATTATGTTGTTGTTAAGTGCCATCAAGTTAGTTCTAATCATAGCTACCCTGCATAGTGTTTTCTGAGGAGTGGAAGGTGAGCTTGAACCACTGACCTTGCGGTTCAAACTGTTTTGTGGTCCATTGCGTTATCCTGCAGCACCACACTAGGGTTCTTAAGGTAAAACAGAAGCACTGAGAAAAATATATAGATAATGTTTCATCAAAATATTTATAGTCTGGAAGCAAAACACCTTAATAAAGGTCCCCCTTCAACTGATTGTATGTTAGATCACATTATAGAGACTGATTACATTACACTGCATTACATTATGGAATAGTAGCTAGTATACTGTTTGTTGTCCAGAACATTGGTAACCATAATTCACACGTAAAATTAACCATCATAGAGTTTGTACTCTTCAGTGGAACAATTTGCTAAAGAGATTGATGAGTTCAACTGTTGAGTAAGTTTTCTGAAAATAAATCTTCCTGCAACATAAGTGAGTGGGTACTTTTTCATTTAAAAATAAAGTAACCCTTTAGAGAGGAGTATGTTCATTTTGAGTTTGTCAAAGAAGTCAGATGACATTAAGTTTAAGAAAAGATGGGACGGGGTGGAGCCTTAAATTTTTTTTATTCCTGGTTTGTGAAAAACTTGAGGTCCAAATCATGGACGTTATAGTTAATATTCTTAATAGGTCACAACTGGAGAGTTAGTTATTGTGAAATTTGAAAACCTTGCCCTAGCCTTTCACCCTGGAACAAACAGGATTAAATTATCTTTTAGGGATCTGGCTTTTTTCATTAATTCACTTGAGCTATGCAAAGGCAACTATGATTCATCAACTGGGAATTATTATCTGTTGTTTTAATTGATCCATATTCTATCATATCTACACATTTCTTTCATTCTTTTTTAATCTTTTATTGTGAATTATTTGATAGTTTACATGGGAGAACATTAGTTTTATATTCATCCTATCATATATCATTTCTTTGCCATGGTTACAATCCCCTCCATGCATCATTAACCAACCAAAGGTTATACACTACAAGCCTGTACTCCAGTCGTCAGCACACAGCCCCTCTCTCTTTCTTTCATTCTTGACATGTCTGAAACATCTAGATCCAAGGGTTGGAGTGAGGACAGTGTACAAGTGTATTTCCATATCTAGAAGGAGGATGGGAGCATGTACTGAACATTACCATTTAGGGACCAGTTGGCATTGGGCTACTAAGTAAGAGGTAGGTTGTTCGGATGCACCTGCCAAGCTGTGGGAGGAAGATGGTGAGATAGTTCGCTTCAGTAAAGTTTCACAGCCTTGGAAACTTCTACGGCCCAGAGAATTCTGTCCTGGGAGACCCCTGTGAGTTGAAATCTCAGTGATAGTAGGTCTGGCTTTCCAAAGAAGAATGTGTACCAAGACTGTCTCAGGGACAAAAATCTGTTACATTTTAATGGTTTATTTTACCCAGAAGTGATAAGTAGTTTTCCTGTGTTTACCAAAATCCGAACATAAAGTTAATTTTTGGCAACTTTTGGTATGTGAATTTCTCTCTACTAGTCAGTTGCTAGGAAAAACTAGTCACTGTGCAGATCTAAAGGAGCCTTGATGGTACAGTGGGTGAAGTGTTGTACTGCTAACTGTGAGGTCATCAGTTCAAACTCACCCAACCTCTGTGATTATCTGCTTCTGCAAAGATTTATAATCTCAGAAACCCTAAGAAGCAATTCTACTAAGGCCTATAGTGTCATGAGTTAGAATCAACTCAATGGCAGTGAGTATTTAAATTTAAGAAACATTTTTTATGCAGAGTTAGATGACTGCATACAAGTCAGATGTTCTATTCTTGTTAGCAGGCATTTGTTGAATTTATAAGTCATTCATGTCTGTGTTACTCAGGTTACCTGCCAAGCAAAGTGGTCTGTCTGTATACATTTGGACTTTATTGAATTGTTCCTGTTTGAACTTTTTTACTGATGCAGAAACAGATCTGCAGATCTTAAATAATGCTTCAAAGCTGTTAATATGGCAGAGTCTAGATTCAGATCTAGGTCTTATTTGAGCACAGCTGTTTTGCTTAATCGCAGTTTGTGATTGGGGTGTGCTGTTTTCTCTACCGTTATGCATTCTTACAGTTCTATGAAGATGCCAAGCCCTATCCTTGCTACCTGTCGTCGTAATGTTTGCCTCCTCTCTCTTAACTCTGAACATTAAATACCACGTTATCAGAGAGACTTCCCTGGTCAGTTGCTCTGAGAATGTTTCTGTAATATCTTACTATGTTTTCATTGCCTGTACAGCATTTTTCTATGTCTTTTGCTCACTTATTTTCTGTTCCTTCCCTTGCCACTGATAAAGGGAAGGGAAGGGCAGAGAACTTTTCTTATTCATTGTATACTTAGCTTCTGGACAGTGGCTAGCACATTATGTTGTTGTTACTAAGTGCCATCAAGTTAGCAGTTAGATTGACTCATAATGACTCTCTGTAGGGTATTCAAGGAGTGGTTGGTGTGTTTGAACCACCATCTTAGTGTTCAAATCGACCATGCTGTCTAGCGTTTAATTTATAATGCCGCACCAGGACTCAGCACATTACTAGACACTTAGTAGGATAAGCACTTGACTGCTAATTGTAAGAATGGCAGTTCAAATACACCATCAAGTTGGTTCCGACTCACAGTATTGTATAGGGTTTCCAGAAAGCTACTGGTGAGCTTGAACCACTGACCTTGTGGTTCAAACCAACTTTGCAGTCTAGCGCATTAACCTGTAGCGCCACACCAGGACTCCCAAAGAATACATTACAGGCACTTAATTATGTAATTGTCTGTGCTGTAATTTGTTACTCAATCCATGTTGGCATTTATGGGTTTCTTGATGGAGGCCACTATTTCAATTGCCCTTGAGTTTGTGTATGTTCTTTTACAAGGCAGCATTTCGGTGTGCGAAGTCTCCTAGCCCCAGAAGACATTAAGAATTTTAACAGGAGTGTGATTGTTGCCAATGTCTTTGTTCTTCACTCTGTATTCACTTATTCTGGGGATTCAAAATGTCATTATTTTGGTTGACCAAACCTCAAGTGGCATGAGTTCTAATCAAGTCTCTTCTTATTAAGCAAGATCATGACTAAGTTATTAGCATGAGCGATAATTAAGTAATTTCCCTGTTACTGGAAAATGTTAATTACCTGTGCTTTGGTTTCTGCTCACCAATGTGCTTCTGTATAAAATCCTAATTTACTAATGTTTTATGGTGATTCTCCTTTAATAATGTTTTATCTCCTTCCTTTTCTCTGACATAAAATTTCCATGTCATCCAAGCAACATTTGACGGTTTTTAAATTAAATGATGCATTTTTATTTTTACAGATGAGCAGGATGAAGAAACAGTCACAACAGGAGGAAAGGTAACAATTTAATTAAGTTTGGTGCAACAGTAACGCTGCATGTTTTAAGTGGTGGTGTTGCTAAGTGTTGTCAAGTAGGTTCTGATGCACGGCAACCCTGTATAGGGTTTCTGAGGAGTTTGAACTGCCAATCCTGTGCTTTGATGTACAGTGCTGATTCTACAGTGCTACGCCAGGAGCCTGTTGTAACACTAAATAGATGGTGTGTATAGATGTCTATTTTGGAGCTTTTAGTTGTTTTTGTTTTTTTTAAAGTTTTTATTGAGTGATAGTGTACATGGGAGAGCATCAGCATTATGCCAATGTTTCATTGCAATGATTACAATTTCCTCCGTGCATTATCATTCAACAGTATTTGCTTCCTTCCCCTTTTTTTTTTGGTGGAGGGGTGTGGTTTGCGCAGAAACACTCAGGAATATATAATAATTTAAACAACCAAAGAGTACATTCTGTAAGCTTGACTCCTGGCCGCCAGTACCCACCCAGTCCTTCTCTTTCCATGAGTCTGGAGTCCTCAGTCCTCAGCTGCTCCCTCTCTCCATGTCCTCATCTCTGATTCCATCTTTGCTGTTGCTGCTTCTCTGGATAGGGCTGTGCTTTTCTCCCTTGGCCGTCCTTACCTTTTTTTTTTTTTTTT